CTTCAGGAAGGAGCGAGACCAGCCAGTCTGTTCATCTCTGACAGAAATGCAGAAGGGCAAAACAGAGAGGCTTCAAAATGGCCAAATGGCAGCTGCACGCAGGGGCTTAAGTAAGATCACTGGCCACTGCAAGGCCCGATATTAGGGGTTAAAATGAGATTCATGAGGGCTGTTTGTTTCCAAGCCTGGAAGCGGAGCCTGGGTGCTGAGCAGGGGTGTGGGTGCCCAAAGGGCTGCCCCACTGCCCCTTAGAGGACACTGTGGCTGGGGAGCAGGCGTGGAAGAGGCTTGCTTGTGCCTGAAGCCACGTCTGATAGCACAGGGTTAGTATCGCTTTTGCATTCAACTATAATATCTGCTAAAGAACAGTCAACTTGGACACTTCAAACTAGCAACATCCTGAAACTTTATCCTTGTTCTCTTGGATGTCTGCAGGTAGCCTAGTGTGTGAGTGGGATGGAGGAAAAATACTCTTGACAAGCCATCAGAAAGGTCAATGTCCTTTAATCTGGAGCTGTGACTTAACCAGCTTTTTCCTTTCAATTCCTAGGACAGGACGTGTAGGGATTACCGGTGCTATACATAGATTGCTATTAGCTGTGTCTTGTTCTGCTGGGAACACTCGAGAGCTGTGTCAGCATTGGGGCTGGGGATCCTTCACACTGCTTGGCTGTTTTTGTTTGCCCTCTGCAGAGAGTTCCTGTGCCAGTGCTCGGTGGGACACTGGCGGGACTAGAGGACAGCTCTGAAGCTGGAAGCACTCAGAAGTTGGGTTTCCTCAGTGAGAAATCCGTCAAAAAGGAGAAACATGTGGGCTGGCTACTGCTTCCCAGGATGGGAGTCAAAATGCAACTCTGAACTTAATTTAATGGGTTTTTATCTGAACACAGGGGTGTTTGTAGGATTTTTTTTTTTTTTTTAAGTGCACATTTAGCTCCTCAGGGATTCAGCAGTGGTCTTGGATTGTGTATGTGTCCGTGTGTCCACGTGGAGATAAGCTGAGGCGTAATCCAGAATTCCTCTGCTTGATAGCCCCTTATCTCTGAGCATGTGCTCCGCATGTTTTCTCACTTGGTGGATCCCCTCAGAGTTGCTGGCTATGTAAACACAGTTGCTGGCTTTGATGTTGAATTTCTGGGAGGGTCCTGCTTTATTGACTCCTGAAGTAGTGGGGGGAAGCACCCAAAAGTGAGCTCTTGGTCAAGGACATACAAGCAAGCAAACCCTCTATAGCTTATGAAGGTAATAGCTGGTATCAGCAAATAGTGTTTGAACTTTCTTTAGGATAGTGTTGAAATTACAGCATGCTTCACAGAAGTCATTAACATTTTAATATTGGATACTTTGATTTCTAATTGTCAGGTAGCATGCCAATAAGGGTGTGTGTAAGGTAACTTACAGTGTGCGTACAGATTTTGGTATTCTGTTTTAGTATTTAGGTTGCATTTGGCAACAAATGCTCTGTGTAAACTACTTAAAATCCTTTGAATTCCAGCGGATCGGAGCACAAGCAAGAAGTGTTATCCTGGGTGAAGCTGCTTAGCACAGGATATGTGACTCGACATTTTTTCATCAAAGCTAGCAGCTGCTGAAGGGATCTTGTGTTGCCTATTGTTGAAGCGTGGATTGGCTGCACGAGAAGGGTACTCAAACTAAAAATACATGTGTGTATGTATAACAGTAAGTGCAGAGTACTCAGTGTTAAACTTTGCATTCTCCAAGTACTGCACTACCTAATAAAGAAGTTCTGTACATTAGTGGTACTGAGGAATCTATCAAGTCTCTCTTGGACTGCAGCAAGGGAGCTGTGTTGCTGTAAAACGTTGACTCGAGCGTACAGACTGGATCGGATACTCTAACTGGATTAGTGAGGCCTCTTTATGCACACCTTGTTTTGAGATTTGAGGGAGAGTGTCTTGCTTAGCATCTGGGATTCCTCCAAGGTGACAGCTTCACTTGAGGACAGAAAATACAAGCATAGCTAAAAATGAAGTTTCCTGTTGGCAGAGTGGGGATGAGTCATTGTGGTTTTGTGTCAAGGGGCAGGATCTTCCCTTTGCTGCAGCAGGTTTTTACTTCCAGATATGCTCTTACAGAGCAGCAGGTTCAGGTGTTTGTCATTCTTGTCCCTGTTACTGAGAAAACGAGGCAGCGTTCAGAAGATGTAATGCTCCCAGTGGGTCTCCATCACGGCAGTGAGCACACCCTCCTTGGCCCTGAGGGCATTGCCCCTCCAGCACTGTGGAGCTCCTAGGGAAGGTCTAGCCCTGGCTCTCCCAGTCCACCCAGTTACTTACATTGGCATCCTTTTACAGAACTACGGGCTTTCTTTGTACCAGTGCCTGTTGTTGCTGGCGTTAGCTGTGTTTCTCCTTTGCTCACCGCACGTGGTGTCTTTGCATCCAGCCAGGTCTCCCCCAGGAAGGGAGGAAGAGGGTGGATGTTACCAATTATATTCATGACGAGGTTTGAGATTTCATGAAAGGTTTTTTTATGGCAGGTTAGATGCCAAAGTAGACTGGAGAACCATGTGTATGTGAAAGGGTTAAACTTGCCTATGCAGTTCTTGCTGAAAAGCAAAAAAAAAAAAAAAATAATATTTTAAAACTGAAGTGCTGGTGAAGGGTGTTGGAGCTGTGCCAGGAATGTTCTTCAGTAGTACCCTTTAATAGCTGGTGATGTGTGTGATGTGTGGGAGACAGTCTCTAGTAATACTGAAGGTGTTAGTCCTGTGGGAGGATTTACCTCCCTTGTGTTTACAAAAAGGGACACTAATTTTTCATCCTCCTACCTGTCTTGAGTTGTGAACAGTGCTGCTGAGAATCTGAAGACTGTTTCCTTTGGGGGGGGGGGGAAATAGTTTTATATGGGAGTATAAGGTATGACAAATTCATAGAGAAAGGGCACTAACTATATTTTATTAAGGAGATTGTAGGCAGATTTGGGGAAGAAGAAGGATGTTTTAGTTTGGTGATCATTCTCTTTAAGTACTTGAGAATGGAGAAGAGGGTGAAATGTTTCTCGTGAGGAATGAGGAACTCATCTGGTTTCAGGCATATGCAGATCGAAGTGTCATTTTGTAAAACCTCTAGTTAATTGTTCGTATGTACAGCTACAGGAATAACTTCAGAGGCCTTATTTCAGAGGCTTGCCTGCAGATCAGCAGTTTTAACTAACGTTTATGTCAGTGTATAAGGAAGAATACCAGAATGCCATCTTTTCTAAGTGTTGGCTTTTTTGTTCCTGGTATCATTTGAAGCAAGAGGGGCAAATGCTCCTGTTGCTGGTAATCTGCTTGTTGTGGAAATCTGTAATTTTATAGCAAGTCCTGTGCATCAGCGACGCTGCCTGTAGCTGTGATGTGCTGTGTGGAAGGAAGTTGCCATGTCTTGCTAGCACAGTGTTTGGCAGGCAGCTCTGGCAATAGCTCCAAGTAGCTCAGAAGAGAAGAAATAACTTGCAAGAAGGGGGGAAAAGAGGTGAAAGCACCTGTTTTGTCACTCAGGCAATTTGCATTTCTGGACATCATCCTTAAGAAAAAGCAGACAGATTTTATTCATGTCCCAAATGCCTGTACATCTCTTCTGTAGCAGCAAAATAGTGTGGTTTGCTTTCTTACCCAGCTCAGGCTGGACAGGAGGAAAGGCAAAGTCACTAGGATTAGCAGATTGTCCAGCTGTTTCAAAATCTTGAAGTGCTGGGCTTCAAGATCAGACTTAATCCCAAGTAGCTTTTTTGATTTTTAACTTGAATCAATTGAAGCTACAAATGGCTTTGCTGTGTAAAAATTCTTCCATAGCTGTTAGCAACTCCATTTTTCTTGACCTCTCCCCTCACAGACCCTCTTGCAGCCACCCAAGGTGCCATGCTTTTGCTTTGGTGTCGCATGTTAACTTACAGGCATGAGTGCCTGGCCTTTGTCTGTCAGAGCGGTTTGGCAGCTCGTGGATGCCGGAGCTCTGATGCAACTTCAAGTTTGAATTTTTTTCCAAAAGTAAATCTTGTCAAACCAGAGTCCTACAACTTTTGTCTTGTATGCTGCTTCTAAGTTGACTTCCATGGAGGTATTGTCCATTAGTTGAGTTACTTTGTCACTTTGGAAGTTGGACTGGAATGCATGTGACTTGTGCTAAAAATGCAGCACAATGTATGCTTAAACAAGGGCAGAAAATATGGAATCTGATAGTTGTAGTGTCAGCATTTTGCAGGTGGCAGTTGAATCTGAATGCATTGTTCCTATGGAAATTGCAGTCATAGTTTCAAAATTCATTTGTAAATCTCTACCAACAAAGAATGACTTGACTTTGACAATAGTAATGTATCTTACTTTGCCAAAGTCTATTTTTTTGCTTAAATGTAATATCCTATTACTGTTACACTAACTCACATGATTCCTACTATTCTCCTTACATCTTCCATTCTGGCATTTCAAATGGGTACTGAATACTCTTTGCTTCCTCTAATAACTCTCTCTATTGTTTTCCGGAGTGATCTGTCAGTTTTATTGAGCTACTGTCATAGATTCTGTCTGCTGACTCCTGCAGCTGGAGACAACTGTCTTCTGGATCAAGAATAGACCCAGATGTTTGGTCATCATACAGATATATTTGTAGCTGTCCATAGATTGATATAAAATTACTTATTCCCTTGCCCTGATGGGAGAAGGGCTTTTTGTGGCATTTCTGGTAAGATTTTGAGTATTTGGAAATTTTTTAAGGTTTTTAACTTAGAGGTAGGTGTTCTTATGTGTTGAAGATAACAAATGCTCTTGTTAATGAAGTTGGTGTAATTATGTACTTCCTGGGTCCTGGAGGGGGAGACAAGTTCTTGGCCTTTTTAGGAACTTGAAACTCTTAGTTAAGCACTTGTCTAACAAAAAAAAAAAAAAAATCCGAAAAACCAGCCATTTGTCCTAAGAGCTCATAGATCTGTTGCAGTTCATAAACTCAGAGGCCATGAACTAATATTGTTCACTCTTCGTGGTGTTGTACATTTTACAGAAGGCGTTTTATCTCCCAGCGCTGCTCTCTAGACTTTTTAGAAGACATAGTGGAATATGCCAGTGTACGAAGGTACTTTTTTCAAAAGCAGCATTAATCTCAACTCGTTGCATGCAGTCCTCTCCTCCCTCCACCCTCTTCCACGCCAATATCTGAGGTCCTGCATGCTAGTGCTGCCATCTGATCATACAACTGGCATGACTTCTTTTTTTAAAGCACTTAATAGGTGGGGTTTTTTTATAATTGCAGAACCAAGCATATATCTGGGTCCCCAAGACACAAAAGTTTGAAGAAGATGCACTTCATCAAGAACATGAGGCAGTATGACACCAAGAACAGCAGGTAACTTCTGGAGACCAAGGTGCCTCCTGTACTTGGTGAAGTACAGGAGGATGTGCTCAGAAGTAGACTCTAGTTCAATGCAGTTAGCCATCTGGTATCAGTGGGAATAAGGTGATGTCCTTGGCGTGGTTAGTTTTAGACATACATACCTCTGCAGCAATATTCTGATGGTTCTGCCATGCTATTTTGAGGAGGTTAAATCATTCTCTTCTAACACCCTCCTTATCTCTAGTGCACAGAGAGGTCAGAGCTGCAGAGGATTTATGAAGAATGGCATGGTTTAGCCAAATTCTTGGCTCATAGTTGCTGGACAGAAGAGAAAGGGGAGTCTGCCTTCATATTTATTATTAATAAAGGTGTGAGACTCCATTTAAATGTGAAAAGTTGTAGATAATATTTTGCAAAGTTTATGTAAAAATTACACAAATATAGATACATATTTAAAGATTGGGATCTGCTTTGAGGACATCTCAAGGTGATGGCAGTTACTGACTGCTGGGGTTTGATACAGAGCTTCACTCCAAGGAGCTGCAGAGTCAGAGTGAAACTTGCTTTTGTGCTGCTTTCTGAAAACATAAAATCCATATCGGTATCTGTGTGCCTTGCAGAGCAATGTAAGAGTCATCTTGTGTTCGTGTTCTATAAAAAGCTGCTTTGTAACTTCTGAATCTTAATTCATATCCTGATCTTTTCCCATCTGCTTACAGGATAGTGTTAATCTGTGCGAAACGAACACTCTGTGTGGCTTTTTCTATCCTACCTTACGGGGAAAGTTTACGGATCAGGTGGGTCATCTCTAACTGCTTTGTGAAATGACTGGTCTACTGTTTACAAAAGATCTTTTTAAATGAGTACGGACCATTTATGTGTAAGGACAAGAGCTTGCTATCAGAGCAGTAAAATCAGATATTTCCACAGTGTCACAGTGTTCATTCAAACTCCCAGAGAAAGAGAGTGGAAAAGATAGACTTTTCTTCAGGTGTTTATTCACGTTTTGAAGCACTCCAGTCCTGTGAAATCCCTGAAACTTACTTTGAACAGATGATGCAACAAACCATGGTGTTAGCAAAAAAGCATACAGAGCATCGGGGAAGGATGCTGCTTCCTTTACTGGAAATCTTCAAGGTTTTATAGTGAAGTTACATCTAAATAAATTTAAGATGCTCCTTTGCTTTTCAGCTCTAAGCCATGCATGTCACTATTTGCAATGTAAAAAAAAAAAAAAACCAGAAACAGTTTGGACTGTTTTGAAACTGCTTTTGGTGTTTGTACTACATATTTGTATAGAACTGTCAATATGATCACTTAAGGGAAACAAAACCTGGTGACTGGATTTCCCTGCAGCTTTGCTTAGTCCCTTGTGAAGTCTAAGTTGATTCTGTGAAGGTCTGTGATCTACAAGGCTACCATAGAAAATACTAATTTTATTCTAATCCACTTTTGGCAAAACAATTGTGTTGTCACTTCTGTCCTGTACATAATTTATGGACAAAGGAAACGGATGTTTAGTGGTGGGAATTGTATTGTATGCAAATACACTTGCCATAAAAATAGTTGATGGGAAAATACTCTCTCACTTAATAGAAAAGCAGCAAGGTCACTGGAGCTATTTTAGAGCAGTTCTGATCACTGTGTCGTTCTGCTTGTAAGCTGGCAGTGCAGTTCTTCAGCTGAAAGCTGCTTTTTCGCATTGGAATATAGGTGACAAAGCTGCACGCTGCCATTGCTGAAGCAGGGTTCTGCTGGCAGCCTTATTCTTAATCTGAGCTTGTGTGCACAGTGGCTGGAAAATTGCAGTTGAAAGGCAAGTTTCTAAACATGGAAAACAAGTAGTATAAATCATGTTTGCTGCTAAGTGTTTGAGCATTAGTGTGTTTGGTCTTATGCAGAAAGACCATATTAAAAAAGTTTACATTTGCCAGGTATATTGTTACAGATTTGAGTTAAAATGATATGAAATCTGATTCTTCAGTTAATGAACATCTATGTTTTGAAAAGAGTACTTAAAAATTAATGCTTTCTTGGAGATAGGATTGAGGGATTGCCCTGTTCTCACATAGAACTCTGATCTGGTGATGTTGGCTGTAGCTAGTGGATGGACCTGGTATTTACCATAGAGGAAACTGGGCTACACTGCATTTTCCAATAGTGCGTTTTCTTCTTTGCATTTAGTGATATAAAAATGGAGGGACAGAAGCAACGACATCCTTCTGGAGGAGTTTCAGTCTCCACTGAGATGGTGCTTGGACTGGAAGGAGTAGAGCTGGGTGCTGATGGCAAGGTAAGGAATTTTTGGTTGGTTGGTTGGGGTTTTTTTGTCTCTTGATCAGTAATGCCAATGACCAAACCATTGACTGGAGCAGGGGACAACAGGTGGGTAAGTTGGCTGCTTTTACCCCAGGACTGTTTCATGCTGAGCCAAATCACCTAATTTATGCAGTGCTTGGCTAGCCATAAAGTGAAAAATGTAACTTTTAGAGCAGTGGAAATTTGTTTTGATCCTTGAAGTCTGAAATGTTTGGTTTGTGGCAAAGCTTCTTCCAAGGAGGCTGTTGAAGGCCATGATCACTTCTGCCTCTGTTTCTGGAGAACTGGTTTGACTCTGGTATCTCAGGCAATATGTGAGTGATGTTTTGATAGAAATACGGGCAAAACTTCTATCTCTTTAAATTTATATACTGTCAGAATTTTATGGATGTGATTCTCCCCTTTGCCACCCCGCCAAATCTTCTTCAGCACTTCCATAATGAAGTTGTGGAAGCAAAGCATTCCTCACTCAACTTCTCCCCTTCCTCCCGTCCCACAATTTCGAGGCCCCACTCCTAAATACAAACTCCAGAGGACTCGGAGTTGGAAAATTGCAATGTCTGGAAATAGGCTTTTCAATAAATTTTCCCCTGTAACTACTACAACTTTCTCTTCTTTAAGGTTGTGTCCTATGCAAAATTCCTGTATCCGACCAATGCCCTCGTCGTTCGCAAAGCCGACAGCCATAGTGCTGTCCCCTCGTGTCGAGCCAGTGCTTCACGGAGTCTTCCTGGATCAAGATATAAACCTGTGACAGCAAAAACGATACCAGCACCAACAGACATTGGTAAGGACAGCTGCCAGCTTTGCCATCACTTGTGAACACAGCAGAAAAGCATAAAAGGAATATAGTTGTCTGAAACAATTGCAAGTGGTAAAGTGCATTTTTAGGAAGGATATGCTGCAGCTGGAAAGAGGCTATTTTTAGCACAGCCTAGTAAAAAAGGCTCATTAATCAATATAAATGATGAGCCTTAGGACTGAGACTTGCACACGTTCCTTAGATCCTCTATATACCTATTTTAGTTCTGTTTATGCAATTCAAGGAGTGCAAAGTTTTTCCTTGGAAATGTGAAGTTTAACATTACCCAACAAGAAACATCTGGTGTACATGGATACAGGTGATCCTCCCTGCGGTCCAGCACAGTAGCAATGCATAAGCCAAAGTGTTTGTGATGAGAGTCCCTTCTCTTGTGTAAGAGAGCAAACCTGACAGCTCTGATCTGTTATAGGCAAAAGAATCCAGTCTTGTGCAGTTGTATTCTGTGCATATTTGTGGATGACAACTTACTTTGCGCTAAGTCTAAAATAGTACGCCAGGCACATGCTGGAGAAAGCTTGTGTTGTTTTTTTAATAATTCTTATAGCTGACCAGTGCATTTATGAAATGCAAACGTGTGACTGCAGCTGCAGTTTGCCTGTACTACGGGATCTGCCGACACTCTTAATTTTGCTATTTGAAAACTTTTTTTGAAGAAGAAACAGGGAATTTAAAGCTCTGGATCTTGTGACACGGTGTGTTTTCCTCGTTCCCTCAGGAAGTGAAGCTGGGGAAACCGCAGAGTATGATCCAAACCTTTTGGATGATCCTCAATGGCCCTGTGGAAAACACAAACGTGTGCTCATCTTTGCCTCTTACATGGTGAGTGACTGGCAGACCTGAACAGAGGAGTGAATGAGTGCCTGGAAGATCACCCTATAAAGAACTTCCTCAAGGAAGCAAATTTATCTAGGAAGTTGTGATTTTTTGAGAATTGATTAGGAAAAATACAAGTAGTTGGGTTTGTAAACTCAGATTGTCGAGGACAAACCTGACATATATCCATGTTGTCATTGGCTTCTTGTAACCGTTTGCTTACTAGGTTTTTTTAAGACTTTGTCTGTAGGTGAGGTTGAACATGGTCTATTACTTAGAACATTACAGAAATGTTAAATTGTGAGTAATAAAACTCATGTTTGCCTTTGCAGTAGTGTCTTTGGAAGACTTATTTGGCTGTCAGTACTGCTCACAAGAGAAATTACAAATTTTGCCTCTTTCAGACTACAGTCATAGAATACGTGAAACCCTCGGACCTTAAAAAGGATATGAATGAAACTTTTAGAGAGAAGTTTCCTCATATCAAGTTGACACTGAGCAAAATTAGGAGGTAAGAAACGAGCATTGAATAATGAGAAAATCATCTACACTGTACAAGGCCGCTTTTATCTTCCACTTGTATGGGGATAATACAAGATCTATTAATAGTGTATATGATTAAATACTAATCTCTTGTTGCCAGTTGAGCTGACTGTAGGCTGACAGCCCTGTACAGGAATGCTTAGGATGCTGAGAAAGGGTAACAGTTGCTTTTCCTAGTTCCACCTAAAAGGGCCAACTGTGGAGTACTAACACTAATAGCCAATTGACAGTGAATCAGCATTAGCCTTGAAACAAATACTTGTAACCTGATTGTATGGCTGTAGTGCAATCCCACCCTAACTGAATTGTCTTTCTGGACCCTCTGTCTATTTTCACCTTTCAATTACCAGACTCACAGATTACCATGGACTCTTAACTGAAGATTCTAGGATAAAGAAGAGTGTTACATCTGGGGAGTCTCGGTAAAGAAAAGTATTTTATGAAGGCAGAACTATACCACACAGAATTCCTCATCATCCAGGAAATGCATCTGGCTGCTCATAAGCGAGATGCACTGTTGCACCTTCAGAAAGCTGTAATCTTGCTGGTATTACATGTCAATTAATGCAATCAGGGCATTTTGAAATAGCCGGCTTAAACACGATTCTGCTGAATCACCAGGGCTATGTGTAACTCAGCTCCAAGTGGAAGGCTGGCTCAGACAGAGTCCGTGTTCTGCCAGTGTCCTGCATGCTCCTCTTTGTAGCTGTTTTGAGTAGTGTGTTCTCACAGAGATCTTGTAGGTGTAGCATGGATGGCAGCCACCATCAGGTCTGCCTTCCTGCTGAAGTGAAGGGCTGGCTGTTGTAGGAAGTGTGTAAACGAGTCTGCCTTCCCCCTCAGACCCGATTCTTCCTCAAGGTGTGTAGTAGACAGGTCTCTGAGCAGCAACTGCTGTGATCTGCATGGCTTTGATGTGGTATTCTGTAGGTCAAGGTGGTTCGGTCTTATGATATGAATCACAAACCAGTTTGGGAGCCCAGAGGGAATCATACAGCGATAGCCTGTGAGGCAGCCAAGACCCTGATGTTCGTGGGCAGATGAGGAACTGCTCTTCCACAGTAGATGTTGTCAGCCAGGTTAGATCAGTTTGTGCATCAGCTCCAGCTTGCTGCCAGCTGGACTTCTCCAGTCTAGGATAATGCTCATCATGGTTTTCCAAGGAGGAGTCTTTCCCATATGCTTTCCTGAGTTCCCATGCTGCAGTGTTTCTAGGGCATTTCATAAAAGCTGCTGTGTTTAAAAAGGTCTTTTTTTTCCTATTCCCAGTTTAAAGAGAGAGATGCGGAACCTGAGTGAAGAGTGCAATCTGGAGCCAGTCACTGTCTCCATGGCTTATGTTTACTTTGAGAAGCTCGTCCTCCAAGGCAAACTCAACAAACAGAACCGCAAACTGTGTGCTGGTGCTTGCGTTCTGCTTGCAGCCAAGATCAGCAGTGATCTCAGGAAACATGAAGTTAAACACCTTATAGATGTAAGTACTATGACACTTGTTTCAGGTGTTGTCAAAACCTTCTCTCCAGCTCGTAGAACAGGACAATTAAAGCCAAGATTTTCCGCAGTGCATGCTTGCATTTAAGACCAGCTCTTTCAGTCAGTTTTGTGTCTTATTAGGGCTTTTCTTTGATTTTTTTTTTTTTCTTTTTTTTTTTTTAATTAAACTAGCTGATTGGTGCAGTCGAATGTCCTCCTGATCCTACAGTGAGGTTATTTTTGCACTTACTGTTTCTCAGGCAAACATATGTAACTGCTGTGTGGGCGTCACAGCTGAGCTGATAAGTTGGTTTACTTGTGTGATCCCTGGCAACACTTTCAGTTCTGTAGGTACAGCTCTGGCCATGCATCGCTGACTCCTGTTTTATGCTGACTTAATCTAACAGCGCATTAGTATCTTGTGGATTAACTGATTCTTTCTCCCCCCACCTTTTTTTTTTTATTACTATTGCAGAAACTAGAAGAGAGATTCCGATTCAACAGAAGAGATCTCATTGGTTTTGAATTCACCGTCCTTGTAGCTTTGGAACTGGCGCTCTATCTTCCTGAAAACCAAGTTTTACCTCATTACAGACGGCTCACGCAACAGTCTTAACCAAAGCTACGCTCCAGCTGAGAGCCAGTGGTGCTGGGGATCGCATCACTGACCGCTGCTGGTGACGTTGCCACTGGCCATTCTGTGCCGCTATGTGCATCCTGCCGTGGCTACAGCTAGTTTTGAAGTCCACAGTGTGTTATTAAACTGTCGAGGTGCGCATTATGGACACGTATGCCAAGTCTGGGGGATGGTACGAGAAGAGTTACTGAACTTTATTTTCTTTTGGACGTTTAAAGCACAAATATTCACCAGTCAGCTGTCATGGCTGCTTATTATTCCTTATTTATCTTTCAGTTTTACTAAAACTGTTCTTCCCTATGAAGAATACTATGGTATTGTTTCTTTTTTATTTTAAGCCTTTATTGTATTCCTTGAGACGAAAGGAAGCATCACTTCCATTCCAGTGCACCATAAAGTTCAGATGTTTCTAAGAATCTTCTCACATTTTTACATTAATGAAATGCATACTTTATTTTTTTAAAGATGTGCCTAAAACTGGCTGGTCTGGTACCAGTGCTTTTTAAGTTAGTTATGTTTAGTGGGTAATCCTGAATTTGTATAGCCATTTATTCTTTACCTACATTGGCCTTGCATATAAGGAAAAACAATTCCAGTATATCTGCACTAATGATACACAGGGCATCTATTCTCTACTATACTACAGATCTATAAGTAGCAAGATTGAAATTACTCCGTTCCAATTTAGTTAGTTAATACCTTAAGAATATACATTTTATTTTAAAAAGAAAGATTGTTTGAAAATCTGTCATGAAATACCACACGTTGAACAAGGTAGCTGCAGCAAAGCCATTGCCATCCTAATTCACTCTTCAGTGGAAGATGAGCGCTTGACTAGGAGCAATTTGCTGTCAAATGCATCATTTCTGATTTTATTTGTTTCAGTGTTCTGTAGTCTGAAATAAGCACCTTTTTAGTATGACTGTGTTATATATGGTCTTATGTGCTCTGAGCAAATACTTAAGTCAGTAGAGCTACTGCTGCCAAACTAAGCCAATGAAACGAAGCATGCTCGGTATTTAAAATGCTACTTTTTTACTCTGTTCTTCCAAGCATTGCATCACTGTGACAGTCCTCATAAAACTGGCATTTGTTGCACATCTGAACAGCCACTTAATGGCTGGTGCCCAGCAGCACTCTAATGCTTACGCAGATGTTAAATAACTTCTGACCATTGGCTATTCTTTCATGTACTTTTTTTTTTTTTTTTTCAAATATCCAGGTTATGAATGAATTCTTGATTATATGTGGAACCTTCTGTGATAGTGGCTCTTGGGTTTATTTTCTGAAGCAATATTATGATAAAAGTAACTGTGTCCATTTGCAAGGAACAAAACTGATGCTTGGCTATTATGACTGAGAAATTTGTATTTTAAGTTTGGCTCCTAAATGAAATACTAGACCTTGTACTGAGATAAGGGACCTGCTATCTGGTATGTAAAGTAATGTAAATTCCTGTTCCTTGTATTAAATGTTGGTTGTAGCCAAAAACAAAGCTGAATCTTTCCTTCTCAGCTGTATTTTGTCTGAAGCTAATTTGGCTTCATTAGAATTGCAGCAAACTTTACTGGAGCCCCTTCTTCTTTAAGTAGGGCTGAAAATGTATTTTTCCTATATAGTAATTACAGTAACTATAAAATCTTTTGTAACTGTGTTCAGCTGTATGTAGCTTCAAGTTATTTGTGTGAAATTTTAATATGCTTGTGATTTCTCTCTAACACAGAAGGACTCTCCAGTCTCTGTGAGATGGTAGCTACTAAATTAGACAATAAGCTTGCCAGTTATCTTCCAAAAAGTTTAAAAAATTGCATACTAGTTAAACTTTCTACTGAATGTAACTGTCCTTCCATGCAAGAAATAGTGACGTACTAAACATCTAACATGTAATGAGCCTTCAAATTAGCAAACAGTGGTGAAGATGACTGAAGTGGCCCACCACTTCCTAAAGTCATTAGGAAGGGGCCAGAGGTAGAATTGAGCAAATAATCTTCTTGCATGGTATCTCCAGAACTAGTAAAACACTTTGGTTAGTATTAATGAAATCAGAAAATTTCTTTCTCGGAAAACTTGTTTAGCGTATAAAGAGCTTTCTGTAACAAAATTAACTTTCTCACTGCCAAAGGAGGGGGAAAAAAAATGTGCTTTGCTTTGCAACACTGCAGTCTCTGTTCAGTGGAAGCTCCTCTAGTTGCAGTGGGCATTTGGGCACTCCTAGAATCTACGGTTTCATGTCATAAACTGGCAAGCTCTTGTTTGTTTGTTTGTTTTCATTCAGAATAACAAATTAGGACAAGGAGCATTAAATTACAGAATGCCGAATGTTGTCTAAAGGTTACTGTAAACCTTGGCTTGGGCACACACAGTACGCACGAGCTCGAAAGCTGTTCGGAGCACAGGCCAAAAACAGCGCAGTTGTTGAATGCTGCGACAATGTCTCTGGTGGAGCGCAGGTTTGGGGCTGATGCTGTCGGATAATTTTGTTGTGGTATCTGTGCAGAAACAGCCCTCCTGAAGAGATACGGTAACTCGTGTATGTGTGTTTAATTTTTTTTTTTTTTTAATCGCTTCTAGAGTGTAGCTTGCAGTCCTGTGTGGGAGTATCTATCTTTTCACCTAAAAGCTGCCACCATGTGGCAAAGGACTCTTACTACGTGATCCATTAACAAACTGAAAGTGGGACCCAAACTATAATGAATGCCTGCTTTACATTTTCACAGCCCAACTCCTCTTGCTTTGAAGAGAAACGCCGGGTTATGCCGAGGGGTGGTCTAGCGCTGTGTGCCGAGTAAAGATGCTGCTGGAGTAACTCAGCACGGAGAACTCTTGGGTTTTTTGTTTTGTTTTTTGTTTGTTTTTTTCAGAAGAGGCTGTACAGTTTTATGTAAACAATACTGTCTTACGCCATTATTTAAAAGACAAGTTGTAGCCTGTTCCATTTCTCCCCCCCCCCCATGAACTTGTGAAATTAAGATGCTGTGAAATAAAAACTGTTTTGGTACACGTTTTGTAACCAAAGGTCTTGTTTCGGAATGGTCTTTCGGTCTCCCTGAGGGAGTGAACGGTGTTTTCCCCTCAGCTTCCCGGCGCCATGACGCTCCCTCCGCCCCTGGGGGGGAAGGGGCGGGGACGTGCGACGGCCATTTAAGGGTCGCGCCCCGCGCTGATGACGCCACGACGCCCCGCCGGAAGCACGACGCTCCCTCCTAGCGTCATTCCGCTTCCGCTGCCGTCCCGCCCTTTCCGCCGCGGCACACGCGAGGTAGGAGCGGGATGGCGGGCGCTGCCCTGCCCGGGGATGGCGAGGGGTCGATCTTCCGTCACTTCCCGGGCTGCCGGGGGAGCGGGCGGCGTGCTCCGGGCCGGGCGGGCTGTAGGGCCCGGCGCTGAGCCCGGCCCGTCGGGGTCTTGCTCTTTGTAGGTGTTAGCGTTTGGTGCCTGAGCCTCAGCGGCGGCCCGGACGAGATGCAGAACGACGCCGGGGAGTTCGTGGATCTCTACGTCCCACGGAAATGGTGAGCGGTTTCCCTTCGGGGGCGGCGGGTCTGCCCCCGGGGAGCTGGGGCCTGGGCGGCGAACCCGGCCGGGGGCCCATGCAGTCTGTGCAAAAGCAGGCTTTGTTGTGGTAGCGAATATCTCTGGGGAAAAAAAAAAAAAAAAAAAAAAAAAAACACAAAAAATAAATTAAAAAGCAACAAACAGAAAAATCCTTGTTCTGCTTCTGTATTTTTAAGTGCCATATATATAAATACATAAAGCGCATCCATATATACAAATATGTAAAGCACAGACTAAAGCTAAAGAGAGTACTGTGTGTGTGTTCTGTTGCATAACTGTCAATCTCACAGTGGCACTTGACAGCTCTTGTGTGGTTCCTTTCAGACGTAAATGTGCTTGTGTGCTGGCGTTCCCGTGCTACAAGCTGTCGTAGTGAACCTGGGCAGTCGTGGCTTGTCGCAATAGCACATCTTAAGGGCAATTTTGCGATTATAGTAAATGGATAGTGAGAAGCTTTTTGTAAAGGCGTGTGTTAAAACACTAGAAATTAAACCATTTGTGTTTTATTAGGTTTAAGACAAATGGTTTTTACAGCCTGTGATTCCTGAGGGTTTGCAACCTGAGTGTCTTTGGACAGATGTAATGGCTGCCAATGAAAAAGGCATAGAAACTGCATTCTCAGTAATTATCTGGATTGCAGTATTCTTTGTGCTTTAGAAAATAAAAGCTTGATAGTCTGTGTGCTTTGAAGGCCTGTGCTGGTATTGTAGAGGGGTGAACTGAGCATATAAAAACCAAAGTGAAAGGATAGTTGACAACTTAGCATGATGCTACCAAGTGAAAGTCTCCTTTAAATGTACTGAAAAGTGGATTTTAATTCTCTGAGCACTGAAAGCTTAAACTGTTATTGTCTAAACTTCTTGTGCAGCTTTAATTTGCGTGCAGATTTGGCTTTTGTTTAAATATATCTTGTTATTTTATTCCTTAGCTCTGCCAGCAACCGAATAATAGGTGCAAAGGATCATGCTTCTATTCAGATAAATATTTCTGAGGTAAGTTTTATAACAGAAGTATATGATGAGAGAGCTACACCTTTACATGTTTGATAGAAGTTAAGAAATATAACAGCTTGTGGTGCTATCTGGAGTTATCTCCAGATAACTCACTAGAGACTATATAAGGGTAGAGCTTGAGAGCTTTCAAACTTATATTACTATGTCACCTCTGGTTAATTTTTTAGACTATTGGAAAATATGCATTAGAGGAAATTTCATAAAGCTCTGTACAGTCCGTTCCAGTGCTTAGCTGTTTGACTAAATACAACTTCCTAACTCTAGATAATCTATTTAGAGTTATAAATTAGGGAATTCCTTGTCCTGAAGGAAGGAAGGAGAAATTCTTTTTTTCTGGGAGATTCTTACCCCTTCTGCCTTCACCTGTCTGTAAGAATGTACTGTGCTTCAGTCTGTCCTTGTGTACCCTGTTTTTTAATATTCTATTCTTGTTGATCTTCTCTGTGTTTTTTCTAATTTGCCCAAACCTTAAGAAAGATACAGTTTCCAGAGCAGAGCTCTTATTTCTGTTCTCCTTTACTTAACTAAAATGCCATCTTTCATGTTTTTCTTGAAGCCTTTGTTAATACTTGACACTGCTGCTCTTGGTAGGTTAGAAATGAGATTGCTTGTGTGTTTTGTGTGCAGCATTATCATCTTATTAGCTCAGTGCTTGGATATTATACGCTTAGAATTTTTCCTGAGGCATTTCCTGAGGTTATTTGTATTGATTTGGTATTGTACAGTTAGTTTTATTTCTGTAATGTGGAATTTGTTCTTGTCTAAGTTTCATTCATCTTTTCAATGTAGTGTTACTGCAAATCCCTCCAAGCTTAACATATATGCTGAGAAAAGCACAGTAGGCCTTGACTCCTGCAGTTAATGCATATGGGGTCCAGTTAATTTAAAGTCCTTTTAGCATGCTTCCCCCCCCCCATTTGTTTATTGGTGTTCACCTTGCAGGAACTCTGTGGACACAACATTCTTATGGCTTATGAGCTATATAGCTTGATTCATTTCTTCAATGAGAGCCCACAAGACTACATTCCCATATTTTTAAATAACTGAGTCTCTTGTGTTATCCGTTTGACTAAATAAATCACTTTTAAAAATGCTCTGTTTGAGATTTCCTGTAAATGCTAAGGCAAATACTTCCGATCACTGTGTTTCATTCCTTCAGTGATCCCAATTTCTGTGTTTTCAAAGGATCGGAGATTAGCAGAACTTGAAAACAAACCCACATGGCATTACAGGGTTCACTACACCATTTAGTTTCATGATTTATATTGCTTAGTATTTTTTCCTGTTAAGTTTCTTAGCAGCTGGAGGAAGTGAGGCAATCTGTCTCAGCGTGGCCATTTTTCTACCTGTGTAACAAGACTGTCCTCTTGCCCCCTTTACTTCAGTTTTCCATAATGCTGACCTTAATTAAAAGAAACGTGAGAAAAATAGAAAAGGCAAGTAAAATCCACAAGTAAACTTTACACTGAACTTTTCCATTATTCTCAGAACTTATATTCTTCTTTTAGCCACCCTTTTGTACTGTGTTTGTATTATACTGTGTGATCCATCAGATTTTATAGGTGAACTGTAAAGTTGCTATGAAAAGGTACTCTGTAGCTGTCTAACTTGAGTATTTACCTTGGGTTTTTGCAGTTTGCAGAAAAATATTTGCAGTATTTAACAAGTAATTTCTATCTTTGGGTGCTTGGCAAGTGTGATTTAAGAGCATAAAATTTTATAAGAATCTGTATGGAGTAACTTGCATGTAATTACAGGTTGACAAGGTAACAGGCAGAGTAAATGGCCAGTTCAAAACGTATGCCATTTGTGGAGCAATTCGTAGAATGGTAAGATCCTTCTTGATTGGCAGAATCATTGGGCTTCCTTTTATATTGATTAGTAATTTTTTAGGATTGTATTTTGCCCTGAAAATACAATGTGCCTTCAGCTCTTTCTACAGGAAGAGCTTTTGTGGGGAAATGAGGGCAAGGCAAAGATGTGAACAAATTCAGTTGCAAGAATCGTTTTTTTCCAGGTTTTTTTTTTTTCTTACTCCTTTGGTTTGTAGAATTACGTATGTTTATATTTTTTTAAAAAATCACTGAAGGGCGCAATTTTTTTCTTTTAAGAATGTAGCAAACTACTAATATCTGGCTTTTATCTGTTGTTTATAATTATTAGAGATTATACTACCATGTCTTAAATTTATTAAACATGGTGTGAAGCTTCCCAGAGTTCATCAGAAGTCTGCTTACCCAGAAATATGTCTTGTTAATGCAAGTGTATATTTTATCAAAACTATTTCTTACCCTAAAGGATGACAAAGCATTTAACAGCTTGTTTTGAAAACACTAATCTGTACATATAAAATGTAGTAATCTGTAGAGGGTGTTGTGCATTCCACTACCAACATTAAATGCTGCAGCTGCCTCTCTTTTTAATGTGTGTCAGTAATTATTTGGTCACTTCAGAATATCTTTTTTTTTTTTTTTTTTTTTTCCCAAAGGGTGAATCAGATGACTCCATTCTGCGTCTGGCAAAAAATGATGGAATTGTTTCCAAGTGCGTATGTTTATCTTATCCTCTAACTATTACAGGGGTAACTTCCATACCCAAATCCAGCTTTTAAGATTAAAAAGTATACACAATTTATACGATGATTACACGGTTGGTCAAAAATATTTACTTGAGTTGTTGAAGCAAACTAGTTTGTAACAATGTTTGTTTCATTTTCTTCTAGGAACTTCTAACTGAAGAAACTCCGGTATGAAACATCTGATGTAAAATAAACAGATCAAACCTATATTGTGCTGTGTCTTTTGTTCAAGTTGTAAACATCGGTGGATTTATTATAGCTAGTCTGAAAAGACTTAGAAATGTGTGTCTTCAAAAGATATACAGATTCTGATTATGAATTCTTAAAACAAATCAGTTCATAAAGCAGTGCCAGAGCTGAAAATCAAGAATTTCCACTTCACTCTTTGGTTCACTATCATCTTTCTTGTCCAGATTTAGTAAGTTCTGTGATTGTGGCTCAACACCATTTTTGTTCTGTAATGGAATATTTTGCAATGTAGCAATTTAATTCAGCTTGCTACTTTTTCACTGGAAAAACTAAGGGTATTCTTTTGGTTGTAATATCAAAGTTTAGTGGGTTTTTTTTGCTGATAGAGGCTCACAATACTTGTTCTGTTATTGACACGTTCATTAAGCAAATTATTAAAACTAATACATTGAAACCTGACTGGAAATACTTCTTGGTGTGCTAACAGAATGATTACCATGTGAGAGAGACTCAAAGTTTTACAATTTTATATAAGGCCTTGATGTTGAAAAGCAGGGAGAAATTTGAGGAGAAATAACTGAGTATTTGGCAATATTTTCATAAATTACTTAATAGCCCTTCAATG